GAAAGACGGTAGCAGAGGGTGGAGATGACCAGCAGGTGACTCTAACTTTGAATCAAGAGCTGAGGAGAGGTCAAGCTGACAGCTGTTGATTCCAGATACCCGTAAAAGATCCCCTTGTCCATGGAGGCCACATTTCTCCCCAAAGACAGCAGATGCCAGATGTGCAGGCAGAACTGTGCTTCTTTCAGTCTCTGGGATCTCCAGCCAGCAGAACAGTAATCGAGAGATCCAAATTCCAGCCCAGCTCTGCCTCTGATCCTTGACCCCAAGTGCCATCTCTGCAGGGATGATTATTATAATGATCATATGAAGTCACAGAGACATTAAAGCACTTTGAACAGAATAAACTGCCACATCTGTAGTGTTTTCTAAGTGCCAGGCTCTGTTGTAAATGCTTTATGAGTATGAGCTCACTCTAATACCCAAATACGAGTAAACAGAGCACTAAGATTATTTCTCTCAACAACGCACACAATTACTCTTAAAATCTTCAGAATTGTTTGAACTCTCCATAGCTCCCTGTCTTATCTTCAAAGACAGTTAAGAGAATCTAAAATAAGAGAAGTTATGACCGGATTAGAGCTGATGGGTCTACATAAAAGCAGCTAACATTTGTTGAACAGTTACCACTGAACACGGTTCTAGTATGGTTCTACGCACTTAGCTCATTTATCTCCAACAACACTGAGAAGAGAATCATTGCTCCCTGATAAGAGAAGAAGCAGAGAGGTTAAGTGACTCGCCCAAGGTTCCCATAGCCAGGATAGGAAGGGCTGGGCTCCAAACTCCAGCAGGCACCTCACAGCCTGCTCACTTTTCAAGCGCTAGACCACCACTCACTGGAAACTACAGCATTGTTAGCATAACCCTGGGGAGACACAGAACAGAGAGCAGCAGCGTTGTCTTCCTGTGGTCCCAGTATTGTCTTCCTGCGGTATGTGCCTAAAGCAGATATGGGGAGGAGGAGGAGGAAAGGAAATGAGAAACTCAAGAAAGGGGCAGGTAACAGTAAAATGGATATAGGACTTGACAGAGGAAACCCAAAACCTGACGGAGGTACCATTTCTGCTCTACAATATCCAAATATTCCATGGCATTCTTTTTTTGCCTGTAAGCCTTACCCTCTCTACAGTATCTCCAGCCACACCCCAAGCCCAAGGACTAATATGCTTGACAGAGGCTGACTTTATTGTCCCAATACATCAGAGAAGAGCCCAATAGGACAGGAAATAAGCGAAGGACTTCCTGGCAAACACACATCCCATACCCTTGAGGACAAAGTTAACACCTGGGAATGAAACTATCCCCTCCATAAAGAACAGTCAAAAGGAGCGCTTAGAGCTAGGTGACTGTGCCAGGCTCCTGTGATCCTGGAGCTTCTCCAAGGCCACTGCACTGCTTTCAAGCAAACTTCAACAGAGACATACTGGCTGTACCAACAGAAAAGAACAAAACTAAAAAATACAAAGTAACTCTGATCACTGTTCTACTCAGCTTCAGAAAATTCAGACTTGGGGACAGGAAGAAGAGATGGGTCAACAAAGTCAGTGACTCTAGAGAAGCTTTCCGGTCTACTTAAGTCCTCATCAAGCACTGCAGGGTTAACACTCAGGGAAATGTTCATTTGTAGCTTAGAATGTGCACCACCCCCCAGCCCACTCCCTGCCTTGTTTTATCAGCCTAAGGTGCTCTTCTCAGGAAAAAAGTACACATTTTGCTCTTGAAGGGGGACCAAAAAAAAAAAAAAAAAAAAAAAACTTTGGGTGAGAAGAACCCAACTCCAATCCCCTACAAAATACAAACTCTCTCACGTCCTCAGAGAAGTGCAGTGCACTAAAAGGAAGGTTCTGCCAGAGGCCGGACATGCCATTCCTAGGGATCCCACTGGCTCCTCTCCAGTAACTTAATGAGAGCTATGAGCTCTGGGCTCCTCATATGAAAAAAAGCAGTGCAGAAAGCAAAGCTTAGACTCACAAGTTGAAATGCACAGCTAATATCTCTCTTCTTCTTCTTCTTTTTTTTTTCCTCCTTTACAAAGCAAAAAACAACCTGTCCCCCATTCAAGGGTCATTTACTGCTGGAAGCTTCTTTGCTGGCCTAAGTATCTGGCTGAAGATACACTGGTAATCAGACCCAAGTCAGAAGTATCTAATGGGCAAACACACAAAACAAGTTAACCTTACTTAAATATTAACCTGCAGTCTAAGGGATTTTTTTTTTAATTTAAAACAAACAGAAGAAATGACAGGCAAAGTAGATACTCTTGTAGAATACAAATGTACAAATGGCCTGTGATCTGATCAACTACGTATAATTAAACACAGACTTCACTTGTCTTAAATTGCCTAATTGCTTGAGAAATGTGTCAGGCTCCCACAAAATCTACTTAAAATTTTTTTCATCTTACTCAGCATGAACTGGAACATATGGCAAAAATGATAAATTTTAAAAATACTAAAATTGTAAAGAGAACTACACCTTGACTAACACTAAAACTGCTACAGAAAGAGTTCAAGAAAGTGAAGCTAAATATGAATTAGTAGCATAACTTAGATGCTAGTTTGTGCTTGTGTTTTTAAGGCTTTACTGAGGATCAGTCGTATGAAGGGAGGAGGGTAAAAAGTCTCTTTCCTCTTCAGAGGTCCCTGAACAAACTGCAGTGTTAACTGGCACCTGCTTTCAAGATTAAGGAAGACTGAACGGAATCACAACCACTATTCTCCATCTAAACATTTCAGGCCTACCACCGCAGCAAGGATCAGAGATGTGCGTAGTACGAGGGGAGAATGACAAAAGGACAAGGCTAACTTTGATGGAGGTAATAACCCAGAGAGAGCTAACATTCTTGAGCTCCGACTAGATGCCAGACACTGTGCTAAGTGCTTGACGTGTGCTAATTCATTCAATCCTCTCACACTCCTAGGAGTCTAGTACTAGTCCTACCTCAGAGGTTAGTGAAGGCCAGAAGTAGCTTCCCTTGTTAACAAAACCAACGTGAGACAGAGCCAGCAATACGGGCCATCCCAATTCCCCAGAATGAACTGGATCCAATCTACAACACATCAAACTATTTAGTCTGCAGCACTCAATAAGCCAAGCACGTTGACTCTGTGCCAGAAGCTACAATCAAGAAGCATAAAGAATGAAGCAATACTGCCTAGAACAGCATGCTGCAGGGCGGAGTGCAAAAACTGATCAGCTAAACCCCTGAAACCAACTGGCCAACAGTGGCACACAAAGATGCTCTGCAGGAAAGCATGGTTCCCCTCCACAGGATCAGAGTTGTCAGTTACAGGGGTTGAGGCTCTTTTAAATCTTATTAAGTAAGGACGGAAATACCATTCCCTACCACTGTCCACTATTTAAACTTCTGGTCTTTATCAACTTCTTAAATGATAGTTCTATTATAATTCCAAGCTGTGGGGTAAATAGCACTCTTTCACTCCTTAGGTTTCAAAAGGCATTTCCTGGTCCAGCTACTCAGGGAGTTGATCCACAAGTCTGAGTTTCCATCAATGTCAATCTCCTCCCTCCTTTCTCAGATGAAAGCTCCAACACCAAGTCCATAATTCTAGGTGCTAACTCTGTGCCTTTTCATATAGCACAACACCCTTTTTGGGGTACAGTATTCCAAGAACTAAGCAAGCTGAATTTGTACAAAAGGTGAAGTGATACCTTCTACTTAGTTTCTAATCCTCTTCCACTGATGTCTTTAAGGCACCATCAACAATAGTTTCTAAACCCATTTCCTATATTGTTACTGGGGCTTAATATCTTGTCACTAAGATGATGTTGAGATGTTTTTAAACAAATACACTATTTTATACCTGCCCACAACAAACTCACTCTCACAGCACAGATTTGGGTGGAGCAGGGAGATAAAAATACAATCAAGCTAAACCTTCTTTTGAGTACTGTGCGTGGAACATTCATGTTAAAGGGACTTACGCCGCCCATCTCACGAATAATAAAGATTACAGGGACACCATAAACTAGCAGCCAGCACATGTACACAATAAACAGAACAATATGTGTCAAACATGATCTGAGAAGAAATGGGAGACTGTCAGAAGTCAGAAGGATACAACAGTAATGAAACAGACTTTAGGAGAAAATGCAATCAAACTAATACGTTGCAAAGAACTTGCAGGGTGGGGAAAATTAAGACACATAATAACAGTAAAACATTTTTCTAAAAAGCAAGCATAGAAGCATGGAGTTGACTGGGAAAAGATACTAAAAAATTAAGCTCTTACATGACTGTAGCCACTGAACTTGAGTACTCTCCTAAGAAAAATTAAATAAATGCCTCCCCTGTCCAACAAGTAAATGCTAATATAATCAACTAGGCTATGCCAATCACGGTTCCCCAATACGAGCTGGAATGTAACCTCAAAAAAAATAAATAAAAATACAACTATCACAGTAGCTTGATAATAACTGCACAACTGACCCTGAATCACTGCTCTACTGCAACCAGGCAGAGCCTTTAAGACGCACCATGAGATCAGCGACTCCCTCCAGAGCCAGAGGGCAGTAGGTCAAAGGCGCCTCGCGTTGCAGCTAGTGGAGTCTCAGGGCCTCACGAGCTCCGATTAGGTAACTCTACAAAAAGCTACAAAAGTGCCGACCATCAATACTATTCTTTGTAACCCTGCAAGTAAAGGAAACATTCGGAGAAGAGAGAGACCACTTAGGACAGTAGAAAACTGCTGAGAACAACTGCAGAACTATAAAAGACAACAGCAAACTGATACAGTTAAAACCAATCGCAGAAAACTGAAGCTCGGCCCAAGAACACCAGATCTTTGGGGGTGTGTAGACTCACAGGCCCAGAAATTTCAACTACACGGGGGAGGGACGGAGTGGAAATTCCCCTGGCCTCCCCTGGACGCTGGCCTCCCGGCGGGACACCCCTCACCGGGTCGCGGCCCTCCAGCGCTCTCATGTCAGGGTGGGCAGCAAAGCGAGCGAGGCGCGCTGCCCGCCCGGCGGCCCACCTGGGCGATGCCGGCGCCCATCAGCCCGCCGCCGATGACCGTCACGTGCTTGATAATTATTTTCTTCGCCGAGGCCGCGGCGGTGGACGAGGAAGACAGGGAGCGCACGAACTGCCTGGTTACGAAAGCCATGGTGCATGGGGCGATGGCGACAAGAGGGACTAAACCTGGCGGAGAAGGCAACAGCGCGCAAGAGCTGCAAACCGACCTATGGGGGCGGAGGCCTTGGCTGCCCTGCCGCCTCGCGCGGTCGCGGCGTCGCCGTGACGTCCTCGACGGCGGGGCGGAGACTTGCGGCCCGCCTTCCCCATTGGCGGAGGCCGCAGGGACGACGTTCGAACGACGGAGCGCGGCGTCCAGGCCCTCATGGGCTGGCGCAGGCCTGGTCTCCGCGGCGGCGGCGGGGCGGGGCGGGGCGGGGCGCGGCGGCGGTGGCGGGGCGGGGCATTTAGCGCATGGGTCTCATTTCAACTTTACACTTCTATCAATACAGTGAACCTGTGGATAGTTTAAGGCCAAACAGCAATCTTTGTGGAATGGAAAGCCTGGGAAAGGAACGTTTTTCAAAGTAATGGAAGAGGACACCAACTAGGCCAATCTCCTCCCTCCTGTGAATAATTTCTAGCTACTGTAACTTAGTAATATGTAATGGTATTAATTTATTTACTTTGTTTCTAAGAAAATAATAAAAATAAGGACACAAATCAGCGTCCAAATTCCGTTCCCTCCTATTGGAAGTAACTTTCATAGTGAATCCTGTGTTCACCATTCCTTTGCTTTGATCTCATTTTTTTGTATCTAGTTCTGTAAAAGTATGGGAGACGCACTTTAAGCACTCCGTTAGGCTTGTGACATTACTAAGGAGATCATTACTGGCGGAGAAGGCAGTGTCACATCCAAATAAAGTCCATTAAGAGCTCGAATTTGACAAATGCAAAAACCTGTTGGACTAGAATTGGAAAAGGAAGGTTACACAGAGAAACTTAGTAACTTGATGAAATGAGTCCATTTGTGAAGACAAGAGAATTCTAGGCAGAGGAAGCAGCATATGCGAAGGTAGAAACATAAGAAAATGTTGCCACAAAAAGAAGGTGAGGAATTAGGTGTGGTTAGAGGTGAACCTATGATGGTAGATTAGGAGGTTGCCTAGATGATTCTTTGGTAGATTGTAATTTTTCATTCTAATTTACAGGTTGTGTCTAATGCAAGGCCAAACATACTCTAATTATAGTGTTGTCAATATATATATATATTTTTTTTAACTGTGTGTAATGTAAAATATAATGCCTGAATATTTGGCACCTTTTCAGAGCTCTGATTTGTTTTCTTCAGAAAAGAAAGAATAATGACAGTATTTTTTTTAAGCAATTCTCAAGTCTGAGGCCATCTGTATTATGTAAAGGTGCGGTGTAAAGAAGCACTGGAGTGAGAATTAGGAGTCCTGGCTTGGTCACTGGTGTGCATTATGACTGTTTGCAGACATCCTCGCTGGGCTCCAGGGTCCTTGTCTATCAACAGAAAGGGCTAGACAGATAACTTTCCAGCTGATTCATCCTGAGAGTCTCTCATTTACACTCTTCTGAGCCAGGAGGGCCACTCTGCCCTCTATTCCTGCCCAGTCCTGGTCAGATGACAGCTACAGTAGAATCATCCTTTTGCCAGAACTGCAAGTCTTTTCTCAAGTGTGACCTTGAGCTTTCAGGCACCCGTAACAATGTCTGTGGTCCCAGACTTGCACCTTCACCCTGTTCTTTGGGCGGGGCTTTGCCTCTATCTGCAGAAAGGGTGGAGTACTAGGAAACAAGACTCCGCTCACTGACCAACTCAAAAACAGCAAAGGAAAGGGCTGGCACAGAGAACAGAGTAAGTAATGACTGCTTTTATTTTTGTCTCATAAATGGGTAGCTGTACTACTTTAAAAAAATCGATATTAAAAAAGCAGTATTTGAAAATATACATGGTAGTGGGCTCTTTGAGCAGCAGAAGCAGGAAGTACAGTTAAGTCCTCTGCCTCCATCAAAGCCTTCCTAGCCGACCCGCTTTGTGAAACAGGCAGGCAGAGAGACCTAAGCTGACATTCAGTTCTCACACTGTCGTGTGACAGACATGTTGACCAAAGGACAGGGTGTGTTAACTGGAGCGTTAATGGGGCCAGGGTTCATTGCGTAAGTTGGAATTTTCCTTCTATTTGTGGGAAATTAATGATTTCTGGCTCACTGGGGAAAGGATGAAAAATTAATGCTGCCTCTCCTGTTTTGTTGAGCAATTTTGAGATTTCATATGTCAGAAAAACAGAGCCGTGGCTGCTCAGTGTGTTACAACAGCAAAGCCCAGAAAGTTCAACCAAAACTTACCTACTGCAGAGTTAGTGAGAGTTGACATTGCCATGCTTGCCAGCAGTGTTTTCAAGGAAATAATAACTGATCTGCACAAACAAGATGTACATAGTTTGAGAAAGGCACAGTCATGTAGCTGTATATCCTACTGAATGATAGTCTCAAAATGACTTATAAAACAAGGCCAAATTTCTAATAGCACAACAATTTTACAAATAATTTTATCCTCTTAAGCTTTTAGAAAAAAATGTTATGATGGCCGACTTTAAATATGCATCTTGGCTTTTATCATGCTAGCAGTCATCCCAACACCAGCTGCTCTCGGCCTCCATTTTCTCCTCTACTTGGGAAATTCACTAAATCCTCACTGTAACCCTACTGGTAGGCACTAAGGGTACTCGTCTTTTATAGGTAAGGAAACTGAGGCCCAGAGAAGTTCAGGAATTTAGCCAAGATCACATAGCTAATGACTGGGACAGGCAGAATTCAAACCAAGGACAGTCTATTTTCAGGGCACATGTTCTTGACTGTCATGTTGCTTTGCCTCTCTTCATAGCAACCCTATGGCTACTACTGCTATCCTCCTCTAAAGGTGAAGAAACTGAGGTTCTGAGCAGTTAAATCATTTTTTAAGTTTAACTCACCTAATAACCGGCCAGACTCAGATTTGATTCCATTCTGACTTGAAGGCTCCCACTCCTTTCATAATTTCATACTCTTTAGAAAGAACTGCTGTTGCCAGAGAGGAAAGAAAAATTGGAGAGTGGTCTGTGGTAAACATGTATGCCTAGATTTGGAGCTTTAACTATCATACTAATGTTATCATTAAAGTTAAGCAGATTAATTTATTTAGATCTTCCTACTAACAAACCCCAGAACTGTAAGTTTCACACAGTGATTCCCAATATTTACACCTGAAGACTCTCTTAGAGCTGTGTGTTTTGTACCACCTTGATTTCTAGCATGCAGACTCACGTTTTTCAAACACAAACATTCATTTATAATTGTCTACTGATCACCTCTACTTGGAAACCCCTCAGCTACTTCAAATGTAACTTATCAAAATTTGAACCTATTATTTCCCACCTCCCAAATACCTTTCACCTCCTCTTGCATTCTCTGTCTCCGTTCATGATGGCCCCCAACCAAGGGCATTTTCCTTCCCCTTCACCACCACATCCCCACCCAGCTGATCAAATAGCATTGATTCCACCTTAGAAACACACAAGCTTCCTGCCTCCTTTCCCTCACTTATCTCTGTCCCTGATTATTGGCATTTTAGCCCAGCCCTTGTCTCCTGTGTAGATACTGAGGCCATCCCCAACGAGCCTTGCCGTAGCTAGTGTCTGTTCATCCCAGTTCATACTTCACATTCTTCTCAGACTGATCTCTCAAGTCATAAACTGGATCACTGCACTCCCCTCCTTTTAGAAACTTCATCCACAGGGTAAAGACCAAACCTGTAAATCCTGGCTGCAACACTCCAAACTCACCTACTTCCTTCTACTCCTTCTCAAGGATCTTAATTTCTAGGCACAAAGAACCAAGCTGATTTCCTAACTTAGAAATCTTTCATAAAGACCCCAATATTAATAAATGAGTTGAAGGCTAAAATATATTTTGACTAACTACAGTTCTGACATTTTCAGAGCCAGATATTTAAGGAAGGCTGAGAGTGACTTCTTGTTTTATTTTAAAAAGTAAAATCATTGATTTTGGAAATAACAAATTTTTCATTGCCGTATGTGAGTAAGAAACATCACTCTAGATGCTGGAAAAGTCAGAGGAGACTAGAATGTAGTCTTTGCCTTTCAAGGGTTCATAATACAGTAGGAGAAATAAACATGAAAATAAGTCATGACAGTAATGTTTTAGGTGCTTTCCAGGAGGGAATTCAAGGGACTGTAGGAGGTGGTTAGCTGGGGAAGGCAGGGAATTAGCATTTAGTGAATGCTCAATTTACCAGACTCTGTGTAAGACCAGCATGTAGTATATATTTTCTCATCCACTCCCATCAGTTTGATGAAGTATGTCACTATTTTTATCCTCATTTTGCATGTGGGACAACTGAGGCTTAGAGAGGGAAATAACTTGTCTGAGGGGTGATAGGTGAGAACTACAGAGCCAAGTCTTGAGCCCCAGTCTACTTGAGTGCAAAGTTGTTGCTCATAACCTGTGTCCTAAACTACTTCATCATGAAAGATATATTACAGCAGAGTAGTGAGGATGATTCAAAGGTTTTCAAGCAGAAGTGTTATAAGGACATTCCAGACAGAGAGAAAAATGTAAATATGGACTGTGAAGGAACTAAGAATAGAGAATAAAAGGTTTGGAAATATAACTAATGCAGGATAACAAAAGCACAGGGTCCTTCTGGGTGAATAAAGATGAGATTGGAAACACAGGCAGGGGCCAGATCAGAGTAGACCTTTTTATGAGAGTCATGATCACAATCACATTTAAATTTTTTTCAACTTTTTATTTTGAAGTAATTGTACTTATAGAAAAATTGCAAGAACAGTGCCAAGAAACCCATATACCCCTTATCCACGTTTACCTATTGTAACATTTTATCAAATTTGCTTTATCATTCGTTTTATCTTTATCTATTGTCTATATCTACCTATAACAGATAAAATAGATTATATATATGAATAATTTCTGAACCACTAGAGGGTAAACTATACACATCATGATCCTTTATGATACTTTGGTGCATATTTCCTAGGAATAGGGTGTGTCTGTTACATAACCATAGTAATCAACTTAAGTAAATTTAAGGTTGATACATTTCTATTCAGTTGATCAACCATATTCCAATTTAGTTAATTAATACAATAATGCCCTTTATAGTTTTTTTTCCTTCTACTACTGAATCCAATCTAGGGGCAGGTATGGCATTCAGTTACCATCTGTCATTCTGTCCCTCTTGAAAAATAACAGCTTTTTGAGGTTTTAGTTAATTTATTTTTATTTTTATTTTTATGTTTAGGCACTGGCTTTCCATGAACATTATGTTTGTGTTCAAGGAAACCACATAAAGGATTTAAATATCCTTGGAAGACATCCTTCAAAAACTATAACTGACAACTCACTACAAACCTCTGCAGATCAGGTGGGAAGAGTTTGCTAAGCAACAAACTCAAACTGGAAAAAAATATGAGGAGGACAAATGCTGCCAAACAGAGTATGACGGGAGAACAGTTTCCACTGGTGGGGTTTCCCGGTTTAGTGTCATCTTTTAGAATTAGAAATGGGCTGTCGCAGCCGAACCGGCCCGGGCGGGAACCGAGCGGAGAGGCGGGATCGTGAGCCCCAGGAAAGAGCAAGAGCAAGAGCAAGGAGTCTGCGCAGCCGCCGCCGAGCTGGCCCCAAGGACATGGAGGAAAGGCCGGCACAGACCAAAGCCAACGTGGACGACTCGGCGCCCCGTCCGTGGCCCAGCTGGCCGCAGGCTTTAGGGAGCAGGCAGCCGCTGCAAAGGAAACACCAGCCAGTAAACCAAGAGAAGGAAACCGTGCTGCTCCCTCTCTGTTCCCCTCCAAGGTAGAGCTGGGTCAGAATGGTGAGAAGTCACCGACCAATGCAAACCACCTCCTAAAATCAAGGTGAAGAGCCTCTGACGGAGAAGCTTCCAGCCAATTTAGCCATTGATCCACCCAAGAGTCTGGGGCCTCACCCAAGAGTCCTGGACTCAACCATCACACACCCAGAGAGAGAAGCAATTAAACCTATCAAAGTATCTCAAAAAAGAAAAAAAGTCCTGGACTCAAGGTCATGGTATAGCCGTTTCACAGCCCACCATCTCCCTGTAGCAGCCCTGGTGAACAGTTTCAGGCCAGCGAGCCAGAGGACGTGCCCATCAGCCTCGACCAGCCTCCTGAAGATAATCGTCTGCCCTGTTACAATGAGGTGCAGACAAGGGACTCAGTCAAAAGGCACCTTCCCTCCAGGCAATTCCGAAGGTCCCAGTCGGGCTGTGGGGACCTGAGAGACTTCAGGGCCATGAAGTCCTCCCCAGAGAATGGTGCCAAGGAAGAGAATGGGGATGAGGAGTTCCCACCCAAGAGCCAAGCCCCAGGATCCCCTCCTCTGAGGAGATGTCCAGCAGGAAAGAGAAGCAGAAGGAGAAGGGCAGGCCACAGGGAAGGCCCACAGCACGAGGAGGCTGTGGGCAGCTGCACAGAGGGGGCCGGCCAGCGTCCAGCCCAAGCCTCCAGCCCAGAGGCAGAGAGTGGACGCAGGAACCCCACAGAGTAGAAACCGGTGGGAGAGCAGACAGAGGAGTCTACAGAGGCGAAGGAGAGGGCAGCTAGCCAAGAGGATGAGCCCGGACAAAGAAGCCAAGACATAAAGGGGCCGGAGGAGGCAGCTGTAGGGGAGGAAACCCCCAAAGTCCTCCCCGAGGAGTAGAGGGTGGCCACAGCCACAAGCAGGGGAAATGCAAGGAAAAGCAAGATGAGGGGGCCCTTCTCGAGTCAGGCTGCGACCACTGGCCATGCGCTGCCGGACACCAGCAGTGAGGTCCCCGAGACAGAGGAGAACCCCTCTGTCCAGGACACTAAAATGTGAAAAAGAACTGACTGTGCTTGTGAGGAAGCTGCTGGAGCCGTCTCTTTGGAAGTAGTCACAGCAATAGTAGCAGCAGCCAGGGAAGCCATCACAGAAGCAGGATGCGCTGAGGCTCAGGAGTCAGCCTGAAGACACAGGGTGCCGTGTCCCCACCCCAACGCCGTCCCAGGCAGAGATTGGATCTGAGGGCAGCAGACTTCTATCAGCTTGAGTTTGTGTCACCTGATGGACAATCTACTCTGGTGACAACTCCCCAGGGATACTGGTCAACCTGTGGGCCTGGATGCTCTGTCCCTTCCTTGATGTATCTTCTCCCCTCACTGATTGGTTTGAATATTCTGGTATTAGTATAAAACTGTTTAGCAACTCATTACTTTAAAAGATAGTATCAACCCAGGAATAAATCCTCACATACATGGTCAAATAATTTTCGACAAGGGTACCAAGACCATTCAATGGGGCAAAGACAGTCTTTTCAACAAATGGTGTTGGGGAAATTGTTATCCACATGCAAAAAAAAAAAAAAAAAAGTTAGACCCTTACTTTACATCATATACAAAAATTAACTCAAGATGGATCAAACACTTACACATGGCAGCTAAAACTATAAAACTCTTAGAAGGAAACAAGAGGAAAGCTTCATGACATTAGATTCAGCAATGATTTCTTAGATAGGACACCAAAGGCATAGGCAACAAAAGGAAAAATAGTCCAAGTGAACTTCATCAAAATTGAAAACTTGTGCATCAAAGGGCACCTCTGGCCACAGGTCTCAGACATGACAGAAACTGAGGATTTATGGGGGGAGGATATAGCTCAGTAGTAGACCACATGCTTAGCAAGCATGAGATCCTGGGTTCAATCCCCAGTATCTCCATTAAAGATAAACAAATAAACCTAATTACCTCCTCCCATTAAAAAAAGTAATTAAAAAAATAAACTGCAGTAAAACTAAAAAAAAAAAAAAAAGAAAGAAACCGAGCATTTAAATTAAAAAGGTATCTGTAGAATGTGAGGGAGGCTCCGAAGGAAATAAACTGGACAAATCAGGGGGTGTTTTAGTCCATTTAGGCTACTATAACAAAAGTATCATAGACTGACTATGTTATAAATGACAGAAGTTTGTTTCTCACCATTCTGGAGGCCAGAAGTCCAAAATCAAGGCGTCAGCAGATTCAGTGTCTTGTGAGAGCCCACTTCCTGGTTCGTGGGTGGCCGTCTTCACACTGCATTCTCACAAAGGCAGAAAGGGCAAGGGAGCTTTCTGGGGTCTCTTTTATAAGGACCCTAATCCCATTTATGAAGGCTCAACTCTTACGACAATCATCTCCCAAAGGTCCCACCTCCAACTACTATTATATTAGGGACTAGGTTTCAATAAATGAATTCTGGGGGGCACAAACAGTTTATAGCAGAGAGTTCTCAGGAAAGGCCACTTTAGATAAGGCATTAGTGGAAGCCTGCCCTGCGGAGGTGACCTCTGAGCTGTGACCTGCAGGAGGAAGACTGGGCCATGGAACAAGCTGGAGTCGGCTTACCGCTAGGAAAAATCCGTAGGTTCAGGTGGTTAAAAAACTCTTCTTCCTGAGCTAAGAAGTGTTGCAGAGACAAGCACTAGACACATTGCCCCAATGGGCTTGTGTAGATTCATCACTCCCTCAAATAATGCTGGACTTTGATGTGAGAGATAAGAAACGTGGGCTGTGATACAGTCCTGAGAGTAACTGTGCTCTGAGAGGGTATATTGAGAGAATTATCCTCCTGTGCAGAGATCATTCTTGTATATCTGTGGCTCTTTTTGGAGGGCTATTCCCTCTTCCATTTCCTAACTTGACATCTGGCAAAACAGAATTTTGTTTAGCAAAAACAAAACCCCCAAAACCAGACATGACACTATCTCATTTAAAATTAAAAGTTTAATAAAAGCATCACAAATTATGCTAAAGATGACTAAAAGGTAGATATTAGGCAGACTTACAAAATAAAGTACTATTATTTTTATATTTCAAATAAATCATAAAGTACAAAATCATAAAACATCAACATGTACAAAGAAAGCATTAACCGTCCTTTCAGTGATCTGCTATATAGAGATGTTTGTAAAGTGCTACAGTTTTTAAGGCATTATATTGAAAAGTTTAATAAACATCTGATTTCAACATAATCTCACGGAAGAGTTGTCTTCCTCAAGTTAGCTACAACTGTTTGGTTAGGAGTAATGAAAATAAACATATAAATCGAGGAGTAATAAACCTGCTAACGCAAAGTCATTAATGCAGTTCCAAAGCATATGAAATTCCAGATCAGGACAGACTGCCCTGCTAAGGCACATGGTAATCCACACAGGCACCATCTGTCTAAGATCTAGACAACAACCTCTCCATTCACTCACAGTGCCTGGGCATTTCATTTATTAATTAACAAAACTCCTCAAGGCACCTCAGGATTGGCCTGTATCTCATTTATCTATATTGAAAATGCAGAGGGGGAGACTGCTGAGCTCAGGGGGTGGCAGCAGAGAGAAGTGGTGCGGGAAGAACTCTCCAGTCACAAAGACTGGTAGGTCTGAAATAGGCAGTGGTGCTTCTCAACCACGTGCTTTAACTCCTAAGCCTCAGCTTCATCAGCTACACCATGGCACCCTCTTACCAGACTTTCTGTAAGAATCATGTAAGTACACGAGTAAAGCATTAAGTATGGTGCCAGCAATGAGGAAAGGCTCAGAAGTATAGTTGCTCACGTTATTATCACGATTCCTTCTCTAAAAGGAATATTCTAGAAGAATAAAGGAAAGGGCTGGCTGTTTTCAGAGCATGACCTTACTGGAGGAAATACTGGTATACTGGGTGAGTTCTTCATTGTCTAGGACTGCTCAGACATTTAGCATCCTGGCCTCATGGCAGCAGAAAGACCAACAGCACCCTAATCATTGCAATAATCAAAAACACACCCACATATTTCCAAACACTCCCTGAGAAAGGTCATTACCTTTTATGAGAACTGCTCTTATAGAGGGAGCTTATTTATTAAGAAATCATTTAGTTCTCTTAATACGAATAAGAATGCCTTCCTGTCTTTAAGAGTCTTCAGGGATGAGATACACTAGGCCTGGTGGCAGAGAACAGGAAAGGAATGTTCGGTACAGTTTGAATCCTTTCCTAATGAATCCCAAGTGTCAAAATTCCCCAGCTCACTATTCAAAGCTCAAATCAAAAGCTAGAGGTCCATCACTGCAGTAAGCTCAGCAGAAAGGAATTCTGCGACGAAGTCACTTCTTCAGCCAGGCTCACTGGTCATGCAGTTAAAATAGAGGACAGGCACATAAGTTCACACAATAACCTTTCCTCAATATACTGAACAGGGGTCCACTTCATCTCATGCCTACAAAAAGTAAAAACCAAAATCATAAACAAAAAGATAACAATAACAGAACGAGCCCTCCCAAAACCGACATATGATCTGTGCCAAGAAAAGCTCTAACTCACGGTCCCCTAAACCCACATTCTCCCCTGACAAAGCATCCAGGTCTGAATACCACTTTCATGTCATCAAGGGTCTCAAACAGGTAGTCTCCCTTCTTCTCCTGAATTTGTTCTGCAGAAGTAAACAGTGTTCTGGTGATGTCAGAAAAGACACGGGGCGTTTGACCTTCATTCATGCTGAGATATAGAGAGAAGGCAAATTTTGTGACCCTCACTTTACCCATGGGATGACTGAGGCACTGAGGGAGGAGAAGACATGCTCACTGGTGGAAGCCACTGGGGATAAAAATCCAGATGCCCTGCTTCCCCGGCCTAGACTTTGTCCCCACGAGTCACACGCATGACTGAGACGGCTGGAGTATCCTGCTGAGGAATCATTCCTCCAAGATGGAAGCTCCCACGCACTATCCTCTTTCCAGTCTCCCTCTGATCTGAGCCTAACCTAGATCCGCAGAGTTTCTGGATCTGCTGTCAATTACAGGAGGAAGAACCAGCTTAGAAGGACATGTATTTACATTCTGTGCACCATCTCTTCTTGGAGAGAAGAAATGATTGAAATGATTATATTTTATCTCTTTGAAATGATTATATTAAATGGATGTGGGGCTAAAGTCAGACCATATTTTCCAGTCAAAATTGGCTTCTTTGAGTCCTTAGGCAAAGCAAATGTGAAACTCTGCATTAGGCTCACGAACATCAGGAATAATTCCATCTTTGCCAGTTGCTCTCCCATACACACCCGCTTCCCTACAAACAAGATCAGAAAAAAGGTAAGGATTACAACAGCATCCCTTTTTCTGTCTCAAAAAGGACAAATTTATATGAAGCCCCTAAACTGGGTGTTTTAAAAGCAGACACAGAGAGTTTTGAAATAAAATGGCCACATATACCCCACGACTTCCCACAGTCTATGCTGATCCTAATTTTCACATACCAAGTGCACATTTTAACTCCTACTCATAAAAATCTATCCTCATCCTAGACAGGAACTAGAGACAATCCAATAAGGCGGGCTACCTTCTCTCCTCCATACCTACTTATCTCTTTCCTTGCTCGTGCCTGGAAGACTAAAGAGAAAATACATCAGATGAGAATAGCAGGAGTATTCTCTTCCTGTAGAAAGAAGACACACACCCTAATCTAGGAACCTAAAGGAGGCACTGGTGAGATTGGAGAGCTCACCCTCACCCACCAGCCCGACAGGTCAAAGCTACTCTTAACTCCAGTAGTTCCCTGGGACTCAAACAATCACCTGGTAACTCAGAAAGGAAGATTTCTAGTCATATTTAATTATTTAAAACCAATTGCTTCCATTTTGTTTTTAAAAGCTGAAATGAACACAGTAGAGATGTACTATCTAAATTATCTCTTATATTAGCTTGCCAAGAAAGAAACATTTTAAAAATAGTATCTTAAAATAATAAAAGATTCTTTTGGTTCTGCTTCTTTTTAAATTATGCCATTAAGAAAATAGAAGTTGCCATACTAATATATATAAAATAGATAAACAACAAGTTTATATTGTGTAGCACAGGGAACCATATTCAATGTCTTGTAGTAACCTATAATGAAGAATCTGAGAACGAATGTATGTATGTTCCTATGTGACTGAAGTATTGTGCTATACACCAGAAACTGACACATTGTAAACTGACTGTACTTCAATAAAAATATATTAAAAAAAGAAAAGTTGCCATAAAAAAGAATGAAATAATGCCATTTGCAGCAACATGGATGGACCTAGAGATTATCGTGTTAAGTGAAGTAAGTCAGACAAAGATAAATATCATGTAATATCACTTATATGTGGAATCTTGAAAAAAGATAGAAGTGAACTTATTTACAAATCAGAAATAGAGTCACAGACATAGAAAACAAACTTCTGGCTACCAAAGGTGAAAGGGAGGGGAGGGATAAATTAGGAGTTTGGGATTAACATATATATATATATATACTATATATAAAATAAATAACCAGGACATACTATACATAGCACGGGGAACTACTTTCAATATCTTATAATAACCAATAATGGAAAAGAATCTGAAAAAGAATATATATATATACACACACACACATATCACTTTGTGGTACACCTGAAATTTACATTATAAATCAACTATACTTCAATAAAAAAACTGAAAAAGAAAAGTTTAACTGACCTATCCCAAAAGGAATAAATGTTTCTTTTTTAATAACTTGTCCTTGATCATCCAGAAATCTACTGGGGTAGAAATCATCTGGTTTCTCCCAAACGGTGGGGTCTCTATGTACTGACCACAAGTTGGGTAATATTATCGTGCCTTTAGGAATGGTATACCCTTGGAGCACTAAAACAAAACCCAAAAAAACACAGTATTATTCAACATGCTTTTACTAATAGTTCTCTTTAATATCACTATCTGAAAGAAAAAGAAAGTTACATATCTAGCTTCTTAATTTGCTGAGACTAAACTTGAGGTACTTGAGGGCGGGGACAAGGCCTTATCAACTGGTATCCTCTCCACATCCCCTCCAAGACCCAGCCTGAGACAGGGCACAGGAGTTGCTCCGATGGATGCTGAGTTAATGAATTAAATCAAACCATAAAAATATGACAAGAGAAAACACTCAAACAGAAATCATAGGGCATTCCAAAAAACTTTCCCAAGGATTACAAATTCCTAATACTTGTATAAAATTTTACAGTTCATGGAGTCTTTTATGTCCATACAGCAGAACAACGAGAAAGGTAAAGATAAAGGGGCATACGGGGAAGTCAGTGCTGGCTCTTACCAGCTGCCAAGTGCACATGCACTTTAAACAATGCCCCAAAGATACTGCCATACCATGTATCTAATTTACACCAAAGATTAAGTAATCCAATGTCACTCAAAGTGACTGCCTCCTACAACCGTATTCTAACTAGATTTCAGCCCATTTCATCATGGGCTGACTCCACAGAAGGAAAATTCCTTGTTACGAGGGATGTTTACAGAGGATCTGAGCGCCTCGATGTCATGGATGCTATAGGTGGGAGGCTGAAACACGTGCCCTCAGAATCAGATGGGCTCTTTCCTAATTCTTTAATACTTATGCTTCAGTTTCAGAATTGTAAGAAATGAAGTAGGACAACTTCCAGTTAAAATCCCTAATTCTTTATTTAGAACTAACCCTCTGACCTCCAAGAACAGGAGGACTGAGAGGGCCCTTCGTTAATTCTGGGGTCTTTTCTGTCAAAACAGCCACCTTAAATGGTGGCATAATCTGTTTGACCAGTGTAAGTGTGCACAGTCTGAAGGCTAGAGAGCTATTTACCCACGAAGCAGTGCTGGAACACGCCAGTGCTACGGATCAGGGAAACTGAGGCTGAAGCAAGCCCCAGACATCTGACTACCCACAATGCCAAACCCTCAGAAGGACCAAGTGAGGTGAGGGGTCACCACATCCTCATCTCAACTCCTCTGGATTAAGGGGCGAGGCTTCCCTCAAGGGCGTTCACAGGAGGAAGACCCTGGACTTGCCTGTTTTCTCTGAGGTCATGTGAGGAATGGAGAGCGGCACCACAGCATTCAGCCTCTGCACCTCCATGATGGTGGCCTCTGTGTAGGGCATCTTGGCCTTGTCAGTGAGGGAAGGGGCGCGGTCGGCACCAATGACCCTTTCGATTTCTTCATGAACCTTTTCTATACAAAAACAGGAAAGCGTGAGAAGATAAGCCAGGAGAGAGTTGAGACTGTCCTCCTGTCAGCAGCACAGGCCCGCTCAGTCTCAGCGAAGTCAGGCATTGCTCAGATATTCCAGAAGAGCCAGCTGGTCCCAGGGGCCCTGTACCCCTTGGGATTTTGAAGGAAGACTGCAGAACACAGAAGGGGGCAAAGGAGAAGGCCTCTGGATTCAGAACACTGAATCATTCTCTCATGGATGTTGGACTGACTCTCTAAGACTTTTCATATGACAACACAGCCCCCAAGATCCTCACCTCTTAGAGGTCACATCTTTGCACCAGCTCCACCCACTTTGTACCAAATCGGTCTATGTAATCAACAGAATAAGGGAGAAGTAACAGCATGACAGGTCTGAGCTTAGGTTATAAAAGACAGTGGCATTTGTCTTGGCCACTCACTCTCTCTCGGGTCATCTGTTCACTCTGGAGGAAGGCAGATGCCAAGTCAAGCAGCCCTATGGAAAGGTCCAAGTGGCAAGGCCTACAGCCAGTAGTCACGTGGCTGAGCCACCTTGGAAGAGGATCCTTCAGTCACAGTCAACTCCATGGATGTTTGTAGCCTCCGGCAACATCCTGATTATAATTTCATGAGAAATCCTGAGCCAGACCATCCAGGCTAAGCTGCTTCTAGATTCCTGATTCCTCAGAAACTATGTGAGATAGTAAGTAGTTGTTGTCTTAAGATGCTAAAGTTGGGGATAGTTTGTTACTCAGCAATACTTAACAAATACTGGTAGGCACAATCCTATCTATAGTAGGCAGCGACTGGTCCCGCAAGGGTGTCTACACTGTAACCCCCTGGAACCTGTGAATACGCTACCTGACATGGTAAAAGGGACTTTGCAGATGTGATTAAAAGAAGGACTTTGAGATGGGGAGATTATCCTGGATATTCTGCGTGTGCTCAATCTAATTATATGGGTTTTAAAGCTGGAGAACTTTTCCCAGTGGAATTTAGAGTCAGAGGAAGGCGTGATTATGAAAGAACGGTCAGAGAGAGATGCAACATTGCTGGCTTCAAAGATGAAAGAAGGAGGCCATGAGCCAAAGAAGCTGGAAATGGCAAGAAACAGATTCTCCTCCAGAGCCTCCAGAAAGGAAGGCAGCCCTACCAACACCTTGATTTTAGCCCAGTGAGACCTTCGTCAGGCTTCTAATGTATAGAACTGTAAGATAACACACTTGTGTTAAGTCACCAGGAGTGTGGCTGTTTGTTGTATGAGTAATGGGAAACTAATACACTATTCCCCCTGTATTCTCCCTCTATGCACAACACTGGCATTCACTATCTCTTACTGAAACTAGCCCTGTGACCTTGTGAAAACCACAGAACGTCTCTGGGACACTGTTCTGCATTTTCAAAACAAGATGAATGCGTTCAGATGATCATTATGATTCTCTTCGGCTTCTCAGCTCTAAAGGTCTTTCTCCATTATAGATTTCACACAGAATCTGACCTGTAGAGATTTAAAGCAGGTGCAAACAAGCTGTGACTTTAGTTCCATTGTCTAGAATCTTGGAGTTTCACTGTTAACACCTTACCAGTTCCTTATGAGATGCAAATATTTTCACTCTGTTTTCCAGCCTAAATATATTGCTTATTGATAGGAGCCACAGGATCACCGAGGTTGCTGACCCTAATTTAAATTAACTGGGTTTGCCGTGAATAAAGGAAACATCTATTTATTACCTTGGATGTCAGGGTTCAGTGACATATACAGAAGGCACCAAAGCAAAGAGTTAGTTGTGGTATCAGTCCCAGCAATGAAGAGATCTCCGATGATATAAAATAAGTAATCTTCATCAAAACTGCTGTTGCTATTATTTTTGCTCTCTTCCACCACGTGGAGAAGGTACATGTCTATGAAGTCCTGAGGGTTCTCTGCATCCAAAGACTCTCGATGGTCTTTGATGATTTTTTTAAGGAAAGTGGTTAAATCCTTTTCAATCTGTCTTAATTCCTTAAATGGTCCAAAAGGAAGGTAATAAAGCCAGGAGCATATGTTGACCAGGAGGAGCTGGTTGTTCAGACAGATTTCTAACGCTCGTGACGTAAAATTAAGCATTTTCTTAAACTCACTATTGGTGTAATCAAAGCGCTGGCCAAAACATAAAGAGCAAATGATGTTAGAGACGGCATTGTTGACAATGGGGAAAGGATTGAAGGGGTCTTCTCCATGCTTCTGCATTTCCTCTTTCACATATTTGAACTCCTCAATAATCTTGGGCTCCAAGCTAAGCTTTCCCAAGCCAAAATGACGAAGAGTTGAATGAGAGAACTTCCTCTGTTGTTTCCAGACTGGACCATAATGTGCAAATACAATCCCTGCAAAAGGACACCGAGGAAAGAAGATAAGAAGGTGAGAGAGGGCAATGCTTGATAATACTGAACAGAACCAACCATGAAGCGAATTCATATTTCTCAAGTCACTTGTGCAAAGTTCATGCACATACAGATAAAGATCACCAGCCAAGAAGAATGATTAGCAAACTTTAGTTATCAAGTTTGTTTCTAATAACAAAGGTCGTCTCCAATATGATTAGGAAATTTTACTATAAAGTTTATTATTATAGCTATTAACTCCTGGTGAAATGAAAAGCAATGAGTTTCAATTTCGAGAGTTAGTGTAAATTTCAAAATCTTTTTTTCATAAGGGTGGATTCAGATTTCAGGTTAGATGCACCCACATTCTAAAAACAGTATTTATCTAAAAATCTATTGCATGGTAACAGATTGCACATGAGAGCAGGGACAATATCTGATTTTATTCATCATTTAAACCCGAGCTTCTGGCATAGTTCTGCATGGAAAGGAGGAGCTTGTTAAATATTAGCCAAATAAATCAATAGCCCAACTGTATTAGGACACCGGCCATCAAAATTTGGATCGAATACCTGGCAGATAATCTAAAATGTCTGTAGCTGAAAACAGTCCTAACTTAAAAGCATCTGAACTCAAGGTCGTTCACAGCTACATCTTATTTGATTCTCATTTATGTTATACATCTTCCACCACCAAACCCAACAGAAGTGCTCCCAGATGTTGTATCAAATGTTCTCAGATATTCTTTGTTTCCAGTCACTTACTTCTTCCTCCTGTTTTCCATGATGTCCATCATTGTTTCTGCCAGCTCTCCCTTCTCTCCCATTGTCCATCTACTTCCTTTCTGCCACCTTCAAGGACATGCTTCATTCATTTAACAAATACTCCTGAGTGCCTACCATGTGCCAGACATTCAGATGATGTGAATACAGCTGAGAATAAAGACCTCTCTCTATGATTAAGTCTCCTTGCAATCTTTAATATCTCTATAAAATGACTCTCAATATAAACATCCACATGGTCAAACGTATCGGATGATTTATCACTTCCATCTTCCTGCCCGGAATCTTCTGCTCAAGATTCTGATGTGGTTGTTTTCTAAGCCTGTTGTTCAGGTGTTTTGTGACTTCCATTTGTCATCATTTAGAAATTTTTAGAAAAATTTTGGACTCTCCTGTGTTGAATCCATTTTCTGGATTCTATGTCTTTTTCTTATTTTATTCCCTTATTTTGCTGAAGCATATTCTCTAGCAGTTTCCTGAGAAAGGATGCATCAGAGGAGAATTTTTAAAGATTTTTTAGAAAATGTATATATTGTAACTTCCCCACTGTCTTGGAATTTTGAAGACATTGCTAAGAGTGGATTGATGTGTAATAAAACATGTACATCTTCAATGTGACACTGTCAAATTACTCTCCAAAAGTGTACCCACCAGAAGTAAATGAACGTTCTCTTGTCAAATAGCTGCCATCACTTGGTGGTTGTCAACACTAGTTTTGCCAATCAGAGGGCTGAAATGTATCTCATTTGATTTTTATTTGAATTTCCCTGATTATTACCAGTGGTTGGAGCAGCTTCTCAGATGGTTATTGACCAGGTTTCCTGTTTTGTGATTTGCACTTATTAATTGTGCAATTTTCTTTTTCTTACATATTCTAGATGCACAGCAGATATCTCCTATCATGTGAACTGCTTTTTCACTTTTTTTAATGCTATTATTTGATAAACAAGCTTTAAATACAAAGATAGTCGCATTTATCAGTCTTTTTCTTACTGATTGGTACTGCATATCTTAATTTAGAAATATCTTCCTACCATGAGTTCATAAATACATGCTATATTTTCTTGTAAAATTTAAAAATTTTGCTTTTCCAACTTTAAGTCTCTGTAATCTACCTGGAATTCATATTTATGTTAGGTATTCCTATGTACTGTGAGGTAGGAATCCACTCTTTCCCCCCAGTTAGAAAACCTATTGTTCAAGCACCATTTATGGAATAGCCTCTCCTTTTCCCCACTGATTTACAACCCTGCCTCTGTTGTATGTTTTCTATACACAGGCAGGTCAGTTGATAAGTTTTCTAGTCTGCTATGTTCTATACTGGTCTATTTATTTATCACTGTGTTTAAAACACGTTGTCTCAACTACTGTTACTTTATAATAAGTCTTAATATCTAATAGGGAATTCCCCACCACCACCTTGTTATTTTCCAAAATTCTTTTTGATTACTCTTGGTTCTTCACTTATATTTATAAAATTGTTTTATAAAATTGTTAATCAGCTTGTCAAGTTCTACTTTTACAAAAGCACCTTTGAGATTTTGATTGGAATTGCATTTAATGTATAGATTTGTTTGAAAATTGCCTTCTCTATGATCATTGGACTTACTTGCAATCCAACAATAAATCCAATTTTGGTTATGGTATTTCTATGCTCTTTTAAAAAACATTGTTGGATTTGGTTTCCTAATATGTTAAGTTTTTTTAAAATTCATATTAATACATGAGAGTGGACTACAAATTTGCTTTCTCATAATGTACTTTTCTGGGTATACTGTCCTCCTAAAATGAGCCATGATGATCCTTTCTCTCTGAAAGAATTTGTCTAAAATTATAATGTCATGTTCTTCTTTTTTCCTTTAAATTTATTATTTTGTTCTTTCCAGATAAATAAAATTGGCTATCTAAGTCACTAATTTCCAGGCCTTTATCCTGATGAGTAAGTTAAGGCTCTACAAGTTTCTCTGGGTACCACTTCAGCTGCAGGCTGCAAGCACTGATGCGTGCATTTGCACTGCATTTTAAGTAAAATTTTTTTTATTTCTGTTTTGATTCTCTTTTGCCACCTTGGTTAACTTGGCTTATATGGATTTTTGACACTGATGAGACTTTTTAATAGTATGTGATCAATTTTAATAAAATCTCCAAATAAAGTTCAGAAGAGTTTTTATATATGCAATTGTTGGGTATAGGGTTCTCTTTCCAACAGAGAAGGCGTGATAATTGCTGGAATCAAATCTTCTATATCCTTATCAAATTTTTGTCTGCCTGATCTCTCGACTATACAAACACTTATGTTAAAATATTTTGATATAATGGTGCATTTGTCAATTTCTTTTTGCAGTTCTGTAAGTGTTTGTTATGTGTAGCTAACCATCACAGCTATATAGATATTTATATCTATATCTATGTATCTATCTATGTTTTAGGTACCTATTTATGCTAAACAACATTATTAGGTACATTTAAGTTTAGAATTATTTTATCTTCCTCGTTCAAAGAAAAGGCTCCTTTTATCATCATGTAATGCCTTCCTTATTCTTGATAATGCAGCTTGATTTAAAGAATATTTTGTCAAAAGTACATCAGCTTTTCTTTTTAAAGTATTTTCTTGGTATAATCTTTCCCTTTCTTTTACTTTGAACTTTAATGTACCCTTATGTTTAGGGTATGTATGTTTCTTTTTTGGGTGTGGGACATGTCTCTTTTAACACAACACATATCTGAATTTTTTAAAATCCATTCTGGCAATCAGTCTCTTAGCCAGTATGTTCAGTCCATTTACAGTTAATATAATTATTCATTTATTTCTATCATATTAGTTTGAACTTTCTATTTGTCCTTCTGTGTCTATTCTTTTTCCCCTTCCTTTCTCACTTTTTTTTTTTTTTGCATTGAGAGAAACAGGCTGAATGCTCACCCTTAAGTTTTTACTTAAGCATACTACAAGTGGTCAGCAAACTAAAGCCCACAGGCCAAATCCAGCCTGCTACCTCCTTTGTATGGCCAGAGAGCTAAGACTAGTTTTTACAATTTTACCTGATTGAAAAAAATCAAAAGAATATTTTGCAATAAGTGAAAACCAAATGAAATTCAAATTTCAGGGTTTGTAAGGAAAGTTTAACTAGGACACAGCCAGCTAATGAGCCACTGAGCTTCAATTACATACAGTCTATGGCTGCTCGTGCACTAAAATGGCAGAGTAGTTGCAACAGAGATTAGAGGTGTAGGGAGAACATTTCCTCTGCCAGAGTTCAGGCCAAGACAAGCAAGTTTCCTTGTTTTCTTTTTGGCCGGGCTTGTTCGGTGTTCTCTGTCTAATTCCCACTCAGAGTGAGGCTCTTCAGGAGCCCCTCTTCATCTACAGGCAACTTTTCATCTTGCGTGGTACAAGGTTATCTTTATGCCTCTGTCAACCCAATTCACATCTCTGGCTGGCTAAGAGGTCACTAAATTCCAAAGTTCTCCAGCGCATCTACTTTCTATTTTTGCAGGGGAGAGGGTGGTGATAAGGAACTGGTCTAACTATAGTTTATATGTACTTCAAGCAATAGCTGTTTTCAGCCCTCTAGCTCACCCCTGCCTCCTGTGATCCCTGGTACTTCCAATTCCTGAAACTTTTGGGCTTCTTCAGGGCAAACTGTCCCATACCCCATTAGTACCTCTCTCTGTAGAAACTTAAGGGTGGTCACCCTCTATTCTTTAAAGTCATTTGGGCCAATCCTATGTTTACTTTTTGTCTTCAGATATTGTGGTACAGGATTGCAGATTTATCTCATCATGGATAGTGTATGCACTTCTGTTAAAATTCTCTCTGGTTTAGTGTGTGATTGTCAAGAGAAAGAAGGAATTGAAACATCTTAACCATTCCTGAAACCAGAACTCTCCCTTTGTTTAATAAAGTCCCATAAACCATTTCCTCAGCAACCACAGCTCATTCACTCTTCCTGTCTTTAACCATGGCCAAGTCTTTTGCTGCTTTCAGCATTCAGATGCTAAGTGCCTATGGGTCCCTTTTTCTTTTCTTGGGAAGATATGGTCTCTCACTTTAACTGCAGGATTTGAGACTAATTTTAACTACTGTCTAATTTAAGGTATCACGTTTGACATCTCTGCTCTGTCCTATTTCTCAAGGAGCTTTATTCCTCTGTGAAGTCCTCAGTCTGTGTCATCTAATCATCATCTTTTTAAACCACACATTTGGGTTTTAGAAACAGTTTA